AAGCCCTTCACTTAAAACTTAGCGCCGTGGGTGACACACAGCCAACTGTTGCTCATCGTGAATGCCACACGATGGTAAATGCTCTCTCAGCAGATAAGCAAACGACTTCTAGCGAGAGCTCCCCTTCTTAAACCGTACAGAAATGGCATTTGCACGACTTTTAGCTATACAATTTGGGATGAAACCTCCTCTGAATGGGGTGGGAGTAGGAACGGATTTCCCGAGAGAGAAACTGCAGACTCCAGGAATCAGGAGCACAACTCAGGTGACCTTGAGGACACAGGTAAACCTCCAAGGGCTCCGACTACCCTAAATGGATGCAAATGACCAGCTGTCTGCAAGGAATAGAAATCCTTCCATTGCCCACTGTCCTGACAGAGGTGAAGGAGCGTCGTGGATGAGAAGCGAAACGTCTTCAAAAGAAAAAACGAAGTCCTGAAAAAGCAGCTTTGGGACAACCATGAGATGACTGAGAATCTCTATAGACCATTCGCACGACCCACTGAACTGCAGTTACCACGTGTTGGTTTTGCGTAGTGTGCGCCCCAGCCCCCGGGTTGACTGTTCAGTACATTCAGCAAATGGACTGAGTCAACCACGGGCAAACGTATCCTGTGGACGCATCCCCGGGTTCTGCTGCATCAGTGTCGTCCCCCCACTTCCACAAACTATGCACCCGTGGCTTGCTAAAATAACTCCGCTGACCGGCTTCCTACATCACACGGAATCAGTCGCCTGCCCTACTTAAGCGTAATCCGTAAGGAGAACTCGGCCTGGGTGGACAGATTGCATTTCCACCACTTCAAATCCATCAGGCTCCCCCGCTCCCCCAAACCCCACTCTGGCTCCGGCCGCTCTAAGCTCCTGCGCTGCAACTCAATCGGAGCCCCAAGCCTCGGGGCTCGGGGGCGGCTCCCCCGCAAGAGACAGTGACGATCTGGCGCAGCGGGAGAACGGCGCGTCCCGCCCCGTCCCCCGGGGACACAATCGGCCTACAAGCGTGACCCTCCCATCCTCCCTCCCTCCCCGGGTTAAAGGGGATGCTCCGGAAAGAGCCGCAGAGGAGCGAAGGGAGCGGACGCCTCTCCCTTCGCAACTCACCCCGCGATGTTACTCGTGGCAGACGGGGCTTAGGGCCGCCGAAAGAGCGGAGATCGCTCCGCAGGCATCTCGCGGCATTTCCTGCAAAAGCCACCGCGGCGATCTCCCCGGTTTCTCGCTTCCAAAGGCCGCTTCTGGAGAAAGTGATGTCATGGCTTTCAAACGGCGGGACTCCTCCCTGCATGCTGACCCGCGACAGCCAATGGGTGCCTGGTCCAAGCTTACTTGGCGCCAGATGTTTCTCTCCCGTTTAGAGGCAGCACCAGCATCACAGCTCCCCCGGCTGATCCAGGCCTAGTAAAGTGCCAGTAGCTCCACCATGGCGGTAGCAGCAGCGTTGGGATTGCTGTAAAAGGAGAGAGTCTTCTTGACACGTTGGAAAGGGCGAGCAAGCAGCTGAGGTGCTTCGTTAGCATTTCATGTTGCTGCTGTTGTTGAGCTCATCCTAGATCTCTTTGTTTTTCCCTCCCATGGAGGAACCTTCTCTGGAGATTGCTTAATTTCTTAAGCCGCCAATCTCTTCATGATTAACCTGCCACACTGTTTAATATGGTAGTAAGGAACTTAAGTGCCAAGCTTTCGGATGAACTGTTACAAGATTAAAACAAAAGAGGTGAGATTCTAGAGACCACATGGGTCTTTTTCAAAAGTAGGTTTGCAACTTTTTCTGGGAAATCTTGTGTGTCTGTCTAGCTTAGGTAAAGGCAAAGGTTCCCTTCGCACATACGTGCTAGTCGTTTGTGACTCTAGGGGGCAGTGCTTATCTCAGTTACTAAGCCAAAGAGCCAGCACTGTCTGAAGACGTCTCCGTGGTCATGTGGCTGGCATGACTAAATGCCGAAGGTGCACGGAACCCTGTTACCTTCCCACCAAAGTGGTCCCTATTTTTCTACTTGCATTTTTTTATATGCTTTCAAACTGCTAGGTTGGCAGAAACTGGGACAAGTAGCGGGAGTTCACTCCGTTAGGTGGTGCTAGGGATTTGAACCACCCAACTGCCAACCTTTCTGATTGACATCCTCAGTCTTAGCCACTGAGCCACCAAGTCCCCATTATCTAGCTTAGCAGATCCTTAATTTTGCTTTTCTGAATCCCTTGGATTAAAGAGAAAACATCTCTTTAAAAGCTTTGTAAAAACACATGAGAGAATGAAGACTCCTTCTTATGAGATTAATGACCTATCTCATATACTGGGCTGTTACGGTTTATTTAACCATAGCTTACAGAGTAAATGATATTCTATTACATTCACAAATTATAATTCTCAGTAATGCTGGGTCTTGTTGCATTTCCTCATTTTCATAAAGGCGCTACCATACTTTGTTGATATTTGCCAAAATAGGTGGTTAACTACTTCACATTTAAACATGTAGACAGCTTACAGCAATATGAGTTCCTCTCACCTGACCAAAGTTCATTAATATAATGGTGAGAAGACAATCCACCAAAATGTTAGCCTCTAGCTACAAGTCAAACATTGTTGAATGACACTGCTGATCATAAAGAACAAACATGTGTTGCTAAGCATAAAGCTTTCTTCATTAGTTTATCTCAAGGAAATCAGAAATATATATATTAAGCTATACATGTGTTTAAAGATGAAGTGGCATTTAGGAATATTTTGGAAATAATGTACCACACAGAATGGATAGGGTGTGTATGTATATATACATAGTAGGTAAATATCTATTTCTGAGGCAGTGACAATTTACAGAGCAAACATAAACATGCTTCTTTGTATAGGACCTAATGCTAGGGAGTGACTATAGCACTATGAAAAATGCTTCAAATTCCACTCATTTCAAATTTCAAACAGCCACCTCTGCTGAAAGTTTACTTAAACCATCCTGGAAATACTTCAAGTTGGGAAGAATGTTTTGAACTTGGAACATTTCCAAAAGAGCTCATTACAAACTATGGTTAGTTATGACCATTCGTTCAGTGACTGTTTAGTTGCAGAAGCACTGGATGGACTCTGAAGTTAGGACCATTGCAGTCCCTTCAGTCACATGATCAAAATTTGGGCACTTGGCAGCGTATCTACACTTACGACAGCAAGGATGTTTCAATTCCTCTCACCTCCCTCCCTCCATCTATGCCCTTTTGGCCCCCTGTACCCCACAGCCCTTGCCACCCCAGCTGGCTTTCGGAGTCTTTCTGCTGCTGCAGCTGACCAAGCATACCCAACCTCGCCCTTCGCAGACACGGCTGCTACCACACACAGCTTTCTTCCCCAGGCGAGGGGAAGGTTTCCTCTAGATGGCCTCATGGTGACCAGCACCTACTTGGTGTGTGGCCAGGCCAAAGATCGACTGCAGCTTTGCAACTGCGCTATTGGGCCATTATTGGAGCTGTTTCATGCTGTGAAGGGCTTCATGCTAAAAGTGCGATTTGGGGGCCTTTTTGCAGCCTCAAGAGCACACCAAGAGGGTCCTTTTGCGCAAAACTGCTGGGCCAGCAGGTTTCCAAGGGTGGCTGTAGCTTTGTGCTGCAGCTCAGGGGGCTTCCTGCAGCCCCAGAGTGGTGGCATGCCAAGAAGCTCCAGAGCCTGTGATTCTGGGGTTGCCTGCCATCCTGCACAGTAGTGTACAGGGCAGCTAAAAGGGCAGAGATGGGAAGGAATAGGCAGTTGGAGGCAGCCCTGTACCTTACCAAAGTTCATGACTAGGAGAGGAGGAACCAAGCCCACAACGGCTTGGAATGGGTGGTCATCCACTAACAACTGGCCAAACTTGGTTAATGGCAGCATTGGGTAGTGCTGGGATTGCCATTGCTGTGATGCAGTCATGTGACACTCGGTTCTGCAACTGCATCACTTAGCAATGGATTTCTATCTCAGTTATGGTTGTAAGTTGAGAACTACCTATAGACACAACCATTCTGAATTTGAATCAAAATAGTCTGAATGTGAACCATTTTGAACAGCATTCATTCAGGGGAAAAAAACCAAATATTTTTATGATTGTTTGTAACATTGGCTTCTATTTGAAGGCAGAAGAACAAGTATAAGCTTTGGGAAGGCATAGAACCAACACTTTGAGGGAACTCTGTTGATTCTCCATCAGTGCCCTTCATCACAACCTAAATGTTGCCCACTATTGGATATAACAAAATGGAGATTGAAAGTGACATTGGTAAAATTTGACATGTTTCAAATTTGCATCAAGTGAACAAGGAAATTATATTTCTCTGCCTTTGAGTCCTTGGGTTCCAATACAAAGTATACAGTATTCTTGTTTGCTTTCTCTTTCCTGTTTCTACTTAGGGGGCCAAATAATCATTTTTTAATTGGCTCTGCAATTTCTGCTCTCTAGAGAGTTTGGCAAAGGAACTAATTACATTCACACAATTAGAAGAGCAAGCTATAAAATGTATCCAGTACTTTTATTTTTATACTACAAGGGATTTGTACACATTATAATGTAGAAGTGGAAAATTGCTTATACGGGCTTCAGTGCTAAAGGAAAAGAAAAAAAAATCCAGCTATGTGCACATTATACATCAACAGGCTAGTGTACAGTACAGATAATAAAAAGCTCTGCTTTTAGCATGGCTCAGCCTGTGACTTCAAATACACTCCCAATAATTCAACTATGGAAAATACATTTCCTCTTATCAGAGCCTATGACTATGAATAAGGCAGAGGCTTTTGCTTTTTGTATTAATTGAACATTTTAAGATTTCCTATGTTTTCTTCTCCATTTATACCAGAAACCAAAAGGCATTCCCTGAATGAGATCTGAAAGAAGTCACTCAAACATGCTAAAGCTGCATCTCACGTGGTTTTTTCCAGATAGACATTAAATCTAGGCAAGATTTAATAGAGACTGGCAAAACACTGGAAGCCAAAAAGAGTTCAAGAGCAGCACATGCTTTATCGGACAGGAGACAGTTTTTTAAATCTCAGTTGATAGCGGCGGATTCTGAATTCCCATTGGTTGCAGGTTCGTCTTTCTTACTGTTCTCCAACCTGGGTCCACTTGTCACAAGATGCTGTGTATTCTAATAGAGACAGATAATTGATCCTGTGATTTTTATTAGATAATACAAACTGCAATCACATTAATGCAAATAAATAATGCAAATAAATAAAACAAATAAAAAATGCATTAGCCAACTTAAACAAAAAATAATTCAACCAGTATCATTAAGATGTTTTTTCCTTTGTGGATGTTATGAAAATAAGGATCCACAGATACACAATCAGTATGCAAAATTTTGTCTATATTCTAAGCAAGTCAACAAATAAAGCAGCTGAGAAGACATTTCAAGAGAAATTGCTTGAATGTTTACCAACTGAAACTGACAATTCAAAGGCTTCCACCACCTGTCAGTTCCTAACCCTCCCCATACTACCAACCAGCTGTGCTAGTTTTCCTTTTTTTGGGGGGGGGGGGAGGGAAAGGAGGAGGTAATGATCCTTTCCTGAAACCCATGCAGTATGCAGATGGCTAATCTCCTTAACAAACAAAAGTGACTCCTCCTTTTCTTTATGGTCTGCCTGTGTACATGAAAAGCCTGGCTGTCTCTTTGCAAAGAGGCCTTTGTAGAATAGGCTCTTCTAACACTTGCCTATTAGCTACCCCTAAAAGAAAAGAAGCCCACCAGAGGAAATCCTCCAAACCTAGGCCGGTACCTGCACTGACAGCTCTTGTGGAGGTTCTGATGCAAGAGGTGTAATTTGTCTGGGAAAACTTCCCTTTCCTGCCTGTGTTGGAAGTCCTTGTCGAACGGATTCTTCATCTGAGCACACAATTAGGGGAGCTTCAGCCACATTTTTGCTCAGTTGGTTCTCAAGGGCAGCAGAAGCATCGGCAAGCAGAGGAGAAGGGGGACACTGCATACCATCTCCAACAACATCCAAATCCTATCAGGGAACAACCAAGAAGCCCGTTTGGGGTTGGGGGAAACACAGTGCCTGCCACTAGGTTTTTCCTCCCTCCCAACCAATTTTACATACACCATAGGAAGGCATAAAAATAAGCCCCACATCTCTTTAATTAAAAAGGATGCAAAAAATATTTTTTGGCAGTCTAAGCAAGCTTCATTTCACCTAGAATAGTCCTCAACTTACAACCATTTGTTTAGCAACAATTCAAAGTAACTTAATGACCATCCCCATGGTCACATGGTCAAAATTTGGATACTAGGCGACTGGCATGTATTTATGCCAGTTACACTGTCCCAGGATCATGTGATCAGCCTCTGTAACCTTCCTGGCCAGCTTTCCACAAGCACAGTCAATGGGGGAAGCCAGATTCGCTTAACAATTGCAGGGCTTGGCAAAACTCTGGCCAATAGTGCAAAATTGATCACTTAACAATTGCCTTGCTGAACAACAGAAATTTTGGGTTCCATTGTGCGTGTAAGCAGAGGACTACCTGCATTCTGCTAATACAGGTAGATTTGCTTGGGTGGGATTGCTGCCTTAGAGGGTAGGCCTCTGTTTCCCTATTTAAAAATGGGAGATGAAATTAAAAGGGGGCATTTATAGATCGAGAGCAGCCAGTTTGTTGAGCAAGACTTTCAAAGTATACAGATACCAGATGCATCTACTGATTATAATGAAATGGATTTTAATAAAAAAATGTTCTCTAGAACAGGAGTCTCCAACCTTGGCAACTTTAAGACTTGTGGACTTCAACTCCCAGAGTTCCTCAGACAAAATATTTAGGAAGATATTTTTAAATGTTTGGGCAGATGATAAATATCTTCCTACTAGGATTAATTGTTGTGGTTAGCCGGCAGCAGTGAGGAGGAGGTTCCCAAGGAGCGTGTGCTAAGTGTGCGTGAGCACAGGATGATTCGTAGAAGAGAACAGCTAGAGCAGCACAGGCGACTCGGGAGTAAGAATGCAACATAATGGCTCCTCCCTTCAGGGAATATAAGCCTGGTTTCAAAGGGTTTTTTGCTTTTTGCAGAAAGCAAAAATGCTCTAAGGACCCAGTTTTGTGTGTAGAGACTCCGGCTTATCTGAAGAATCCTGTCAAAGCTTTTCTGGTTGGACTAATTGGCTGCAAGCCATCTTTTATCTACAGAGAAGTTTATTTGTAGATTAAAGCTGTGAAGGTTTGAGTTACTGAGTTTGTTTGAGATTTTCTTGCTGGTAACCAGGTTGGGTCAGAACATTAACACAGTGCACTATATTAAACAACAGGTAGTCCTTGATGTACAACAGTTCATTCAGCGACTGCTTGAACCACTGAACTGAACTGAAAAAAGTGACATATGACTAATTTCATTCTGTAGCTCTGGTTGTCTTACTTAATTATTTACCTCTCTTTTGCTTTCGATGACATCATTAAGTCTGACATAAGTATGTATTTGCATTTCCCCCTATATCCTTTGATATATAGCCCCATGCCCAGCTCAAAGGTCATGGGGTCTTCTGCAACGCCTCATAAGATACTTACATCACTGAACTCCAGTGGCAAGCTTTCCGTGGGGCGGAGTTCAGCTGCACTCAAGTAGAGATCCGTGGAAATGGTTTCCAGTTCCTCGGGAACACACAGAACTGGTTCAGGAATATACATCTGAGGTGGTAGCTGTAGATGGAGTGGGCAGCAGGGATTTTCAGAAAGGTTTACAGGCACTGGTTTGCTGCAGGGTGCTTCTTCTGATCCTTGGCACAATTTAAATAGGAGTTGATTGGTGTCCTGGCAAATATCTGAAGATGGAGTTAAGGAAATTTGGCAAAATTTGCAATGCATAGTCGATATAAAAAGCAGACCTTTAAGCAAGTCATCTGACCATGGAAATGTACAATATGTAAACTAGGGAAATAAAGGGAACTTTACCACTTTTCCCCCTTGGAGAATCTTGTATGTGATAGAAAATATTGGGAGTTAAATATAAGCTCTGTATACATTACCGTAATCTGTTAATAATAAAAAACAACTTCTGATTTAGAACTGCGGTATTGTTCTATATTAGTGGACCGATTCTGTTCTCTAACTTCAAAATAAAAATAGATATCTAAACTACACAAACATGTTTAATAGCAACATTTATACATAACCAGGAAAACAATTTCCTGCAAAAACAATAAATTTACAACAGAATTTAGCTCAGTCCACAACCTTCCAATCAATAAATATCATAGCATACTGAATTTTAAATATTACTTTTTGCTGGCCTAAAAGTTAACATTAAGCCTTTTAGAAGAGCCATTTTTCATATACATTCACACATGGGCCTGAAGGGATCCAAACAATTTGGCTTTATTTCAAGCTGTGGCTTAACTCTACTTTTGCGAAGTTTCATTGTTGCTTCCAACTGAATTGACTGTTCCAGTTTAATTCTGAAGTTATGGAACAGCCAACAGACCATAGAAAGTCACTTCTTTGGGCTCCTGCTTGAAACCAGAGGCTACAGCAAGCCACCAGCCTTGATTCAGGGCCAAGAAAAGCACAAAGGTGAGAAACGTTTGGGTCATACTGGGACAGACATTGAGTTTTGATAATATTTATGAATATCTTATACTACTTTGAGAATTGGTGGGAAATCGCTTTACTGAAGAGTTTGATGGAAGCTGGGATGATGGCTTCAAATCAATTACAATAGTACACATTAACGTGTTTTAAGTCACTTCTTGTGAAATGGTTGGCTACGTGAATTTGATTAATAAATAAATAACTGTCCATGTAGCCATATTCTGTGCCAGGTGAAGCTCCTGGATGTTCTTCAAGAGCACGTTGCAATGATCTATTCTGGAGGTGAACAAGGCATGAACAGCAGTAGGACTTAAGACTCATATACTGCTTTATAGTGCTTTACAGCACTAAGTGGTTTACAGAGTCAGCATATTGCCCCCAACAATGATAATGAATGTGCACCCTCATGGTCCAGGAAGGGGCACAGCTGATGCACAATATAAAATTGTACAAAGTATCTCCTAGCCATGGGTGTTGCCTGCTCCTTGAGCAGGAACCAAGAGTCTAGCAGGACCCCCAGGTTGTGCAGTGGGTCTCTCTGGGGCAATATAACCCCATCCAGTACCAAAGATGTTGAAGCACATATCAAAGCTTTGGAATTTGACTGTTTATCAGGAATTGAATTTGTATCAAACCTGGTTGATGGCAAAAAGAATGATATTAAGAAATATTCCAGACATCAAAGGAATGGTTGTCAGAAATGCGTAATCTATCTGTTTTGGAAAAGGTATTTTCTACCAATGCAGCAATATGTGTTATTATGGCAGAGATTCTGTAATCAGAATTGATACTATTTTAAGGTATCTTGTAGCTTAGTGAATACTTTGGTAAACCAGTGGCTATTCATAAATATACACTGAATTTTTCCTCTTGATTTGTACTTTTAATTTTTTTAATGTTTCATTTTTAAGATTAAAGATTTTGTTCAGAAGATATTCATTTTTAAAAACTCAAAGATGTTTAATTGGACTAATTGGGAGACCTATTAATACTATCACAAGAGAGAAAAAGGATACGAATAAGGCAATGTCTTGTCATTGGGAGAGACTGGTTGGAACATCGAACATCATCTACAAAGGCCAAACACCTCTGGCTAGAACGGGTAGTATGTGCCTGGAAGATACAAACCAAAGACAAGATAATCTTTTAGAGAAGCCACTGTTTTAATATGAATTCTTTCAGTCATACATTAGCCTCTGAAATATACACATCAATGCTTCATGTGTTTTAATACTCATACAACAGACTGAACCTATTAATAGCATAGCATAAAAAGCAGGTTAAAATGTGCCTCATCATGAAGGAGTTTTACTCTTCCCAAATTGGTATTCCCTTGAAAACACTTGGTTTTGAATTCTGCACGTGGCACAGAGATTGCACATATCTGGAAATCAAGAGTTACTTCCATTTTTATGCTTTGCTTTCATAAAATAATCAGGCATACAATATCTATCACCAGTGGACCAAACAGAGAAGTAACTCAATTACCTGCTGGCCAGCACCCTCGGTAGCCAGCATTCTGCGTTCTTTCAGCTGCCGATGTAAGAGAGCCTCCACACCATAACGTTGTCGGTAACGCCTCAAATATTTCAATCGCTTCAAGTTTTCACGTTCTTTAGACATAAGACCCTCTGGGCCTGTCAGGAGACTGCTACCTGGAAGACATTAATAATGCATCCTCAGTGTAGAATTAAAATATTATATACCCTTCTACTACAGATCAAAAGAGTTCTTCTCGGAGTTTACTCATTCTGCTTTGAGAAAGAATCTGCTTTAGCTCAATTCTTGTTGCTTCAGAGAAGAAATACAAAAGGATCACCATAATTCTACTGCAGGGATGAGCAACCTGAAGCTTCCCTTCACTCAACATTGTTTTGTTGTATTTCAATAGTGTGATTTTGAATGTTAGGTGTCCTACTTCCATTACTCTCTCTCACCACCCTTACCCTTCTCAACCTTAAGGCCTAAAATAGCTCCTTTGGTATCTAATGCTAGACCATTTTGGAAGAATTTTAAGGTTGGGAATTGGTCAGATTGGAAGGCTGTCTTGTGTCTCCCAACCCTTGAAATGCTGCCCATCCCTGTTCTGTAAAACTATGATGTCTGTAAAGTTCTACTACTGTTGAGAATAAATGTAGCACTTCACAAGATTTTAAAAATTAATAAGAATCAAGGTGCAATCTAGAAGCACCATCTTCCAGCAGTGTTGTCATGGAAGACTTTTGGGGTGATGTTTTCAGAACACATATTTCAAAGATTCTATTCTGTAATATATATGCAAAAGCACTTCGTTAGAACTAATTAAAATAACTTTTGAAACAATTAAGAAATGTTTCCTTAGCTAGTCCCATAGGATAACTGATTGATATTTATGCAAATACTTTCTCTTCCAAAATTCATGGAAATAATTGTTTTTATTAATTATAGGAGCCAAATATTCTCTTAATGATTGCAACAGATCTCTGAATTCAGACATATGGTACATGAAGCTCTCTTTTACTTGTGGCTACAATGCACTCTCCTATCTTTAGGAACAGATGGTGCTCAAATCCTGAAAATTTTTAATTAACCTGAACATTACATTAATAAGTACCACTTCAAATAAATATTAATAGGCAAGAAAAATCAAGATATATCTACAAAAAAAGTAGTCCCCAACCTCTAGGTAAACTGCTTCTGATGGTTGCTCTAATGAATTTCACATCAATTTTTGTGATGTCTTCAGCTTATTGAGCCTCGGCGGCGCAGTGGTTAGAGTGCAGTACTGCAGGCTACTTCTGCTGACTGTCGGCTCCCTGCAATTTGGCAGTTCAAATCCCACCAGGCTCAAGGTTGACTCAGCCTTCCATATTTCCAAGGTGGGTAAAATGAGGACTCAAAATTGTTGGGGGGCAATATGCTAATTCTGTAAACCGCTTAAAGAGGGCTCTAAAGCACTATGAAGCGGTATATAAGTCTAAGTGCTATTGCTATTATGTTCAGAGTTGTAGCCATTTACCTATGGCTTCATGTTCCACCTTCCGGCTGTGCAAATACCGGCGCTTCTTCTCTTTCAGAAGGTGCTGAAGCCGTTTGAACTGATCAATATACAGAGATTGTAGCCGGATCAGTTTTTCTCGCATGATCAATGCCACCTCCTCAGCCGTATACACACCAGCATGTCTGCACAAACAGGATCCAATCACAACTCATCCTCTCTAATCATTAACATGGAGAATCACCTAAAGCAGTGTCAGGTAACAAAAGTAAGCTATTTAAAAGCAAAGAAATCAATCAGCAAGACTTGTGACCTTCAGTAGGGAATATTTAATGCAAAACATTTTGAAACCAAAATGCTAATTTGAGGAAGTTCAACACAATATCTTCTGGAGTGTCCTCAAAGCTTAGGAGCTACACCTCTAGAGCTTACCGTACTATCCTAAGTACAAGTAATGATCTGAAGCATTTTTGTACACTTTAAAGGGTGAGAAAGTATGAGACGACAGCTTTCAAAAATGCATTCAAAAGGCCTTCTCCGAACAATTGTTTATAATTTTCAGTTAGTGTAAAATGTGGTTGATACATTACCCAGTTGCTGCGTAATTGCATACCAGAACATATGGCAAATTATACATGTGGAATAACTCTACAAGTTACATCGAAATATTTGAAACTTTATGGGGCCACAAACAAAGTATAAATGAAGTTATGGAGTAATATACTTTTCATTAAGTACCTCAGAAAAAAAGGGCAGGCCAAACAAAACATTAGGTGTAGATTAATGGTCAACATTAATTTGTTTTCATTCATAACCGTCAAAATATTCAAAATATGTATTTATGAATACAGGTTGGACTCGAGGGTTTTGTGGACAGGGTAGGATTGATGAAACTTAAGTCCTCTACATGCTATTAACCACAACTTTCAACCATCAGTCAGTAGGTCCAATGAAAGGGGATACTGCACGTTGTAGTTTAAGAACATTTGAAGGCCCAGAAACTTCCCACTCCATCATCAACTATTCTGGTGCTCCTAAAAAGAGAACTAGTCAAGACTGATGCTGAGAATAACCCAAATTGTTCTGGAGGAGAAAGGATTACGCTTGTCTTTGAAAGCTCATATTCGGTACATGTTCAAATAATTTTGGGGGAAAATGAACTATCTCTATTGCACAACTCTGCAACAGTAATTCACAGAACCTGACTCAAGAGACTTACTTTAAAGGATCCTCTTGGTCACTATCAATGCTATCTGCTTCACTATCAGGATCACCTCTCCATGTCTGATCCACAGTAAGAGGCTCCTGGTCTCCCTCACTCCAGCTGTCTTCATCTGGAAAAATAAAAGAGAGGAAAAATGTTTACAATCTACATTATTTAGTAAAATTAGTGTAATGTCATCAATGTAAGCTAAAACAGAGCTACCGAAGTGAAAATCTCATATGAACATACACATCTATAAGCTGATATAAGCATGTCCATCAATCAGAACTATAATATTCATAAATATTCATTTAATCATAAACTCTGCATTAAAACTTATCACTAGAGCATCATTGGAAAATCTCACCTTTCTAGTTACCTGAATGTCAGACCAATACACCCATAATTTAACCTTGATTTGGTAAGGAAACAAGCCTAGCACCATCATCAACATATTTATTTGGCAGAAGAAAGAGATTCTTACACGGTTGAAGTTTTTTAAAGTATAAATTATAAAGACAGTTCATAAATTCAAATCACCCCCACCTCTAATTTTAACTATCCAGCAATTAATATATGCTGCATCCATTATTAATTTAATATTTTAAATTTCTTCTATCCTTCATCAAACTACCTACAGGGAAGTGACAGTAAATTGTTTTTAGAAAACTGAGTTGGCTAGTTCCGGAAAGCTCCCAAATTGAGGCTGAAATTTCTGTAAAAACAAATCAAAGGCACAGGATGCCATCTTCTGAAACAGGATATCCTTATCTTTTACAGCTTACTCAGAAAGATACATTTTCTGAGTGTTCAGATTATTCTGTAAATGGTCCATATGATTTATAGGATTCATCAGTAAACTTATATGTTAAATGTAACTTCCCTCTAGAGCAATTCCTAAAATAAATAAAGTAACCAAAACAACAAACTATGTATGCTCTAAATTTCTGAATGCAGAGTCAATGCCCTTTGCCAAAATATAAATTCCTGACTTCCCAAGATATTTAAGCTGAACCTATTATTAAAAAATGGTAAAGGGAAATATAAATGCATTTAATTTTAAAAACATTTTAACCTAGTATCAGGTGAGACTGAACATTATCTGCTTCCATCTTTTCTCTGGGTTGCTTTGTTTTAAACTACATATTGAAAGAGATTTGTTAGAATATGATCAAGCTATATAAAATTCAACCTTTGCATCTAATTTTAAAAGAATAAAAAATGCCCAAGATAACATTATCATCTCTCCAGCTTACCCAATATCCTGCTGCCCTCACTACGGTTATTTTCTGCAGATTGAGAGCCCTGCTCCGTCTTGGCATAGGAACTCAGCTGACAGAGAAGAGACTCCCTTACAGGGCTAGGATTAGACTTCTTCATCTGAGCCTGTAAGGCCAACACGTTTCTGCGAGCATGTTCAGCACAGAATGACACACTAGGTAGAAAGGCGAAACAGCAAGTGATGTGTTGTAATTTCCAAAATATCTAACAAAGAAACACTTCCATATTGTTTAAAGAAAGATCCACTAAAAGATCTCCAAGGAAATGTCATAAAATGTGGCAAAACTCCCTTAACAAATTCTCACTTAACAACATAAATTTTGGTCTTAAACCAAGGAGTACATGTAGTAACATGACTATTTGCTTGTTCTCAACTTGTGAAGTTACAAGGATCTCATTTCTGACCTAGTTCTGAAGTTCTGACCGCTGAGGGCCCCCACAGTCACAATGAGCACATTTTGAGCACTCACCAACTAGCCTACATTCATGGCTGATTGTAGCATCCCAGTTATGTGACCTGTGTTTTACATCACTTTTGCGAAAACCATTTTCAAGCTTTTGGAAAAACTGGCCACAGCAAACCACTGGTTTGCTTAATGACCATCGTGTTTGCTTAACAACTGCCACAAAAAGGTTGTAAAATTGGGTCAGTCATGTAGATTACCCAATTTACAGCTGTCACAATTTAGGACCGTGATGAGCAGGCTCCATTATGGTAGTAAGTCAAGGACTACCTGTAGTTTATATTACAAATTAATAACATGTTTAAAATGTTTTAAAGGCCCATAAAGTTATTTTTTAAAGGCAGTAATGAGAACTTTTTCTCATTAGGGAAGTATCTGCTACAGTTATCTGCTAATCTTACTTCCTAACTCTGAATCTGCATGTGTTCTCAAGGCTTTCAGGAGAATTATGGAATTTCACTCTAATATAGGGATCACCAAAACCAGGCCGTGTGAGTGATAAGCAAGTGACGGGCGTGAAGGTCCACTTGAGCAAGTGGCAGGCAAGTGCATGCATACAAAGCTCCATTCGTGTGAGTGGAGGGCAGTTGAATGGAGGGTGTGAAGCTCCATTCATGTCACTGGGAGCTTCATATGCAAGCACCCTCCATTCACGCAAGTGAATGCCGCTTGTCTGAGTGGAATTTCACACACAAGTAAAAGTGCTCGCGCTCATGTGCAAAACTCCATTGATGTGCTCGTCATTTGCACCAGTGGAGCTATGTGAACACACATGCACTTCCCATTCACCCTCCTGCACTGGGCTACCAATCTGATTAAGGTTGGGGATCACTGCTCTAAAGCGTTTAACATCCTTTAAAGTTGTCAGCAAGCAAACCTTAAGGAGTCTTTTTCCTCGTAGGCTAAAGGCAAGGATTCCATAATGAGACTAGCACATTTGGCAGCTCACATTTAAACAAAACACTCATAAGAGTGTGTGTAATGTAGACTCATGATTAAACACTGAAGCCGGCAATTTGGATGTTGCCCTCGAATACTTGTAAAAAAGGGAACCAAAATGAAGAGAACCACTATATGGTGCAAATTAGAAAAGTAACAATAAAACAATGCTTTCCAAGTTGCTAAACATACTTCCTACAAAACAAAAATGATTTATGCTCTTATAGTAGGCTTCCCTAACTGGGTGCTCTTGAGTCTATACTTCCATAATGATCCCAATGCATCTAAAGGTTTCCAGTTTGGATTAGTAACATGCTTCAATACTCAAAAATACACATTATACTTAAAGGTCTATGTACTGAAGTCTCCAGGCCTAGCCTCTTCTAAGAAAGCTGCAAACTTAGAAATCTATACAGTACTTTCATATTCAACTTGTGCTACTTGAAATTGAGATGTTTGTGGCTTTCCAGACATCACAGATTGGGATTCCCATTTTCCTTGTCCAATGGCCAATGCAGGTGTGCACTGACGGGAAACAGATTTCAACGAAGTCTAAGAATTACATACACATCATAAACATTTATCAAGCAGGTGTCTACATTCCACCAATAGGAGGACTTTATTGCTAACTTTGGATTAGACTAGTAAAATGAGCAAGTTTCAAACAAATTGTGATTTAATGAAATGTTTTAACTGTTAGTTAAAATGGAAATATGTTTCTGATTTATTCCTCATGATTGTGGAGAGACTAAAGGGTAAAGGAGAATGCATAAACAAAGACTTGTGACTTGAAATTTAATGCTAAACATGTTGCAGAGTCACAGCCATTTTTCCCCAAAGAATCCCAATTTGCTGTGAAATAAATAGATGACATCCATCATTCTTTGCTCCATAATCCAGAGTACATGCTTTGCTTTTGTCCTCAGCCATGAAACAAACCATCACATTCCAGAGTTTTTTTGGCCCAATCTACCAAACATGGTTGGTGTTAGCAAAACTAGGAGAAAACTGTATGCTGCTTTAAAAGGCAAGATATTAATTTAACCTAACAATTTAAATAAATGCTCCTGTATCTTTCCTAATTATTATTTCATCTAAGAGCACGGTGGCTCTTGCGATTAGGATGCTGGGTTGGAGGTTAGCAAGCCCGTGTTTGAGTCCTGAGTGCTGCATGCTGACATAGGGTGGGGTGAGCTCTTTCTTTGCTTCAACTCCTGCCAGGGATTTGAAAGGAAGCCCCAACGGGGCGTCCACCCAGGCAACTGTCACTAGATAATCCTCCGGAAGGGCCTAGGTCCTTGTTCCCACATGAGAGCAAAAATTTCATCTAACTGGGTTGTACACAATGTTTTAGGACTCTGTTTAGATTTTTTAAAAGAACTTTTTAAAGAATGTCAATTCAATTGTCAACCTTTCAAGGTGGACCATGTCAGGAAACAGACAACTCAAGAATGAAAGATTGATTTGGGTATAAGAGAATTTGAAACCCTGATATTTTTCCTTTCTTCATTCTTGTAGTCAGCAAGTGAAAGATGAGTTTAAATTCCTTTCTAATGTTTTTTATTTCTAATCTCTTTATTTAACAGGTTTCAACTAGTTTTGTAACTTTCACTACATTTCTCAAAGATCTCTATACAATAGTTCTACACAGCAATTCAATCAAAGGCTTTGAAAAACAAAGACTGAAGTTTTAAATGTTTAATAATTTAGAAATTGGATAGAAACGTTTTAGTAATAACTCTAGCTTATTTAAATGTGCTATTTGATATACTATTCTTTTAATCAGTTAACTATTAACTTTGTACCAAACTTTAAGCCTGTGATTAGCATTGAGCTAGATCTGTAAGACAATCTTGACTTTGGATGTTTTGAGAGGAAGTACTTCAAAATTGTACATGGGTATGTGACAACTCCTTATTTTTAATCAACAGATACTCTGGAATTATTTGAGAAGTCAAAAATATGAAAATGTTCTCTAGAACAGAGGTCCCCAACTCCTGGACCATAACCTATTTGGAACTGGGCCATGCAAGAGTGCAAAGCTCCATTTGTGCAAGCATGCTTGCCTACTGCTTGTGCGGAACCATCCCCCTCCCCCTCGCAGCAAAGGTTGGGACTGCTGCTTTAGAACAAAGAAAGCTGCCTCATGTGAAATACAGATATTGCTCATCTATTTAAGTACCATATTTCCTGACTGGCATTGATTTTCAAGAGCATTCCCTACCTTCATCCTTTCTCAAATTTCCTTGGAGATGTCAGATTGAACCTGAATCTTTTTGTACTGCATATGTTAACATGCAACTCTTTTCAGTTAATGTTCTACAAAAATATATATATCTGTGAACACAATACAAATGACTTGCATCCAGTCTTGGATGATATAATTTCATGAATGTAACTTTTAAAATATTCCACAATTATTCTATGCACATAGTAGTCTATTATTTTCATTAGACCTACGATACAAGAAATGATCTGCTGCAAAGGCTGAGGAAGACAACATTTCATCTCTAGAGATAATGTGAACATATATAGAATGCATACCCATCTTTCTTCTCCGGCTTGGGAGCTGCATTTGGGCACCTCCTGCCATTCTTAGTTGAAATATAGCTGCACTGCTTGAAGGGTGCATTCCTGTCTTCAAGGATGTGTTTAATGCAGAACTCGAGTCCTTCCAAACGAGGCTGAGAGCATGGACGGTGAGCAAAGGCACAGGACAAGGTTTCTTGTGGCCTTGGCACAGGAGTGAGCTGCCCCCGATTTGAAGGCAAGCCATGAATGCGAATTCTGTTCATGCCAGTGCCTGTAAGGAACATGTTAGTACAGATCTGACATAAGTAAAAAAAAAAAAGTCACTTCTGCTACCATAAAAATCCCTTTGTTCCCCCCAACAAGGTTATTTCGGTTTTCCTTCTGACTATCAAGCTTTCCTCTTGATCAATCTTGAACCACCGGAGATTCTATATTTCGGAGTTACCGGCAATTCGTGGATTCGCTGGACCCTGAAACAATCCACACCACTCCGATCCGAACCCCGAAAAGGCAAGAAATGTGAATAAGACTCTTGCGACGACCATCCCTCTTCTCCCGTCCCAGTTCCTCAACAGGCTGGGCATTTCCTTCTTCCCTTCCCTCCCTATTAACCATTTTTATTTTTCTTAACCGCTTAAGCAGCTGCGGCTCCTGTAACTAAATACCAGGAGAGAAGATTCTTTACACAATGGCGAAGATCACGGAACGCAAGGAGATTCTTCCTAACCGTAACGTTATTTAAAGTTCATACAAAACATGTTCCCTCTTTTACCCTAAAAGGGATTAAAAGTCCCTCCCCTGCCGCCGCCTTTCTGTTCTCTGCGCTTCGAGAGCTTCGCTTAATTCAGACACGCGGGGGCGAAGCCTTCCCCAACCCAGTCGAGAAGGCGCTTCTCCTTCCCCCTCCAGGGACTCTGGTCCCTCGGCCATATACGATTCCCCCACGCCTCCTGCTTCTTTTTCCAAGGACCCGTTTGGCAAGAGCGAGAGGAAAAGTGAGCTGGGGGGGGGGGGGGGGAGCCCCAAAACCGCCCTCACTTTTTTTTTTTTTTTTGATCAGCGCAGCAACAGCCGCCATCTTACCTTCCTCCTCGCGCTCTGGCTCTCATCAGGGCCTCGAGCTCGCTATCGCCAGCCAATCCGGAGATGACGTAGACCAGGACGGGATTGGATAAAGGAAATGTCATTCGAGCCGGTGTGGAGGGCGGGCTGCCAGGCTTTTTAACGGTTTATTAGTATTTTTTTTTTAAATGATCCCGATTTAAGACTATTTTGACTGTGTTTATGGCCTGCTTTTAATTTCATTGCAGTAAGCTGCTTTGAGGGCTAATACAAAGTATCTCATATTAAATAGACTTCATTAAGGTATGAAAGACACCCAACTTTAAGCAACTGATTTTGGTATTCTACTCAAGCAGGATGGGATTCAAGCAAGCCAGAATTCCATCTCATGAAGCTGGAATTGCTGAAACACGTGTTATGATCAATCAATAGAATGTTCATAGCCGGACACCACCTTTAGCAGGATTAACTAAAGCTTTGCTTTGCAAAAAAAGAGAGCATTTTGCTTCTTTGTCATACCATTCTTAATATCAACAAGTTTGTGGCACATAATTTAAATATGCTTCCTATAATCTAAACCCATTATTCGATACGCTATATGACAGACATGGAAATAGAGAATAGATTTTCAAGTGTTCTTGTAAGTCTCTGTCTTTATTTCCTTGCACCTCCCAAAGCCACATGGCATTCAGCCCCTTAAATTTTTCATGGCCTTTCAATTGTTATGTTGGAAGTTAAAACCCATCCCTCTCCTAGGAAAATGAAGTATTTTAGGATATACTAAAAAGGCAGAATTCCCCTAAAAAGAAAAGTATAAACTCAGGCAGAAACTCAGCCCACTCCCAGCTTTGACTGCTCTGACCTAGGCCACTATTTTACATAACAAAGATCTACTCTAGGTAGAGCTATTATAGGAATTGGCCTAATCCCTTTCATTACATCATCATCCAGCAAGGTTCAACCAAGCCTGGGACTCAGGACAGCCTACAGAGTTGCCCCTGCATGGCCCCATGGGAGTCTGACAACCAATCAGAATACAAGCTCAAATTCAAATCCCAACAAAGGGCATAAAACCAAGGGTCTCTCAGCACCTCAGCCCTTTTTTTTGTTCAGAAGCTCCAAGGCATGTGATCCTGTCCACCATTAAACCATCTTTCCAAGCAGTCACCATGTTTCCAGTGTCTTTCTTCCCCACTTCGAACTGAACCAGAAGGCTATTTCTCCCAACAGTTACCATACTATTGTCCCTTAATTTTCAGCCAGCACGGGCCACAGTTGGAGCATGTCAGTATGACATTAATGTGCCTGCATTCAAATTATAAATGTATCGATCCCTTCATTCCCCTTTGCTAGTTATCCAAGGTCCCGCCCCATGAAATATTTTGAGGAATATTAAAAAAAGCAGAATATTATATTTCCCTAAATGAGAAATGGAGAAACATATTTTTTAGAGGCAGGAAGCAGCCGGTCTCCCTGCCCCAAAGCAGAAACTGAGGAGGCTACCTTTTAGAAATGCAGATTTGGTAATCCATTCAAGACAGGATATTTTGAAATAAAAGTACAATGGTAGGATTAGAAGCAGCCCAAAGCCCCTTCATTGCACTAACCCTAGAGCAATTCAAACTTCAAACCTGGGAGATAAAAAATGTCAGAGGTTGACCAAATTAGCTCAGACAAGCACCTAGGTTTTGCATTTCCTTTTGTATATAGAGCCAGCTATGACCCCTATATAGCCCCTATATGATCCCACAGGATAGCTAATAGAATATTAAAGGACATGTTCTTGCACAGGAACAGGAAGCTCAAATATAAAGCCCAAAGATATATCCCCACTCTCAACTCCATTGTCAGCTGCCCAGAATCACATGTGCTTGGTGGTTCTGCTTTATCAATAAATGTTGCTTTCCAATCAGCCTCCAGCCTCCATTTTATCTCCAGTGCCTTTCTCCTGAATTGTAATTGACCCAGATGGATAGTTCTTCCAATACCAGTGAATTGCAATTCGGACACTTGGTAACCAACCCATATTTAGGAGGGTTAAAACATCTTGTAAGTCATGTGATTGTAATTGGCAATCTTCCCAGCTGGCTTCCAACAAGTAGTTAATTGGAGAAGCTAGTTTAGCTTAATGACCTCAGTAAAAATGGTCATAAAAATGGGTCCACTCACATGACTCATTTAATGACTGCATTGCTTACTGACTGAAATTCCAGGTCCCAATTGTAGTCATATGGTGGGAACTACCTGTAATGCACATTACCATCCCAATGTGGCATTACTCTACTGTACAGGATTTATGCATTAAAGATTGCAGACTATGTCTAGATATTATCCTATCCTTTACATTCCCAACCTGTACAAATCTTGGTAGGTCTGTAACTATAAATCAGTCTGAATTACCACACGGTTCAGAAAGGTTTATGAAAACAATGAATTATGACTATGTGTTTTGCAACTCAGACAGGAGAGCAAAGAACACTAGAAAATAATAAGCAGAATAAATTCAGTTACCTTGAAATCCAAGCTATATCATTAACGTTTGAAGTTAATGTATGCTATACTGGCTGCTGGCTTTCATGGCATCTGTTGGGCTTCAGGTTTTAGTGACTGTAATATAGAGAAAAGATTTCCTAATATTTCACCAGCAACTGTGGCTGGTGAAAGCACATCTTCAGAGACAAAGTGTTCAGTTTTGCAAGCAATGAGAAGTCAGAACACTTACTTATAAAGACAAGAGCCCATTCAGTCCTTGTTCTGTTGCCTGCAGTCTGTGCAGCATTTTGCCTTGAAGTTGTAAACAAAGCATCAGGAAGTCACTAAACCCTGAAGTTTAACACGATTGGATATATGTTTTAAAGGTATGGACATTGCCTGCTGACAGTTCAAGGTAGGTAGAGAGGAACTTAAGTGCTTTGTAAAAGTCATTGTCCAGTCAAATCCCTTAAAAATATATATGCAATTTTGGAAACAGCGAGCCAGCATAACCAACATGGGAATTCTAAGAATGCAGATCAAAAAAGACATTGCCAGGCTAGGGACTTTCCTTGCAATCCAGTATGAATTATATGGACTCTGCATTTTATTTTAGGATTAAACAGACTCAATCTTAACAATTGCTCAACTGCACATGCAGAAAGAAGTTGGTACTATTCTCATCATAATCTGCTTTTTCTTCCTATTATTTCTGTGACTGAGAAAGCTCCCCTGACCTTTTCTTTCTGCATACACATAACTGGTTTTATAATCCATTATAAATTTGCATACTGTATTATTAACTATAAATACTGTAATTGATACATGCAGATGCGTATCCATACAATACACAAAACATGGATTACTGAACATATTTCAAGCAAGCCTAGAAAATGTCAGCTGATCAAAACAACTTTTTTAAACGTAAGGATCAAGAAATGATTTAGACAATTCAGCATACATTACTCTTACGTAACTGCCACATTCATTTCCATGGGTAACCCGGCAACTTCTAATAAGCAAAGTAAATGAAGGATTATTGTAAACCTGCAGTTTTCAATTGACAAATTATGATTCAAAATCTGAAAATATGAACATCTGAGAGTCTACAAAAGGAGATGTTTTTTTTTATCATGCCAGTTATTTTCCTTTCCTACTTGCTTCTTTGCTTTCTTTTGTTCATATCCATTGTGATTTGTTTTTAAATTGTAATTGCTATTGCTTACCTTTACATCTCAGTGTAAATAAAGAACAGGAAATAAACAATGAAGATTTATAGATTCAGAATACTGCTGTTACTGTCCCAAATATTTTGTGTACACTTTTCCTCATACATTCAAATATTAGCAAGAAATTTCACAAGGAATAAATTAAATGCAGAGACAGTACATTTATTGAAACATGGAATAGTAATAAAATGAGCCAGGAATTAGAAACAGTTTCTGAAACATTACACAAAACTAGGCCAAAGTTTGCATCAATAGCGAGACACCATTGGTTCAGAAATCCAAAGATGGTGGGAAAATAATTATTCCAAATTCAGAGAAAATACTTCGGCAAAAACAAGCAGATGAGTGTCTTATTTTAAACATGATGCATCATCTGAAATCAGCAGCAATGAACTTCACTCACATGACATCAGAGGCCACAACTCGTAGTCACCACTGAACATACTGGATTGGGCCTCTATTGATATATACTAGGGTAATCCATTTTGGATAACAAATCCTTTTTAGATTACAGAGTCCCTCATATTTCAATTTGGAATTCACTTCACAACAGTAGGAATATCCTGAAATGACTTGTGGAACAAGGGGACTATATTAAAAGACAAAAAAGAAAGTTGAGATTGAAGACACTCACTCCAAATACTTTGTCCAAATGCTGGATTACAAACCAAGGCAGGTTTCATAGAATTAAAATATTGTTATGATCTACAGAAACATAATATACATCCATGTTTAAAAGCTAGCCCCATTTTTAGCATACCAGTAGTATGCTACAAGTTCAGAATGTTATATCAACATTCAAACCAATTCAGGGCACCCTCAAAAGGGCTATTTTTGTATTGCATTGACATCTTCATCCTACTTTTATTCAATTTTTCTCCCTCTTAGAGACATAAAAATTTGACCTACTAGATATTGGCAAGCTGTAATTTCCAGGAGCCCGTACTATCATTTAAAACTGTGAGGGATACTGAAAAATATAACTGAATATTTGAAGGCCACGGGTTTGCAATCTTTGCTGTTCTCCAAATTTGCCTGATTCATTTGTGGTCATCCTTACATCTTTTTTCTTTTTGGACAAAATGTGAAAATCTCATATTCCATAATGTATTTAAGGTATAATATAAAGCATTCCAGAATCTCAATTACTGCTCCAATCCATAGGCTGTCAGCCTCTTCTAGTTCTTCCTCCTCTGAAAGACACATTTTCCCAAACTATACTAATGCAGCATTTTTTTGAAGGCACTCTCAAGAGTTCATGCACTAGCATGCAGTGCTGCCCACCATGGATATACAGTCCTGTGAGATTTTTTAATGGTTAAGTCATGTTAGCTATTTGTCTTCCGGTGAGACAAAGACTGA